CGATGACGCCAGCTTTCTCGAGGCGCGCGATCTCCTTCGTTACGTCTGGCAGGATCGCGTAAGCAACCGGTCTTGCCTTCTTGAATACTGGCTTCGCGTCCTTTTTCAGGTAGGTATTTTTGCTTCGTATTTCAGGTCATGTTCCCAGTTTTCCGTCAATCACCTTCGGGTATTGCGTTTTGATTTTCTTCATAAGCGCGACTTCGTTGGTGTTGATCGGGGGCTTTCCGTAACTTGGGTGATCGTGTTGGAGAGGAATTTCGGGTTCAAAATTTTTCCGTGCGGATCCTTTCTCAGCCAGTCTAGTCCGAGGAGTGAACATTTGTCCGTCACGAAACACTTGCCGGTGAATGAAGTGCCTTCCAGCTCGATTTGGCATTGAAGAATTCCGTCGGATTTGAGCTTCGAACCGTTTGCCACTGTCAGGTTCTGAGTGGTCTTTTCGAGGGTTGGATTCCCCAGCTGTTCGTAGGTGCGTCGGTCTATTAGGGATACCTCCGCTCCTGTGTCCACAGCCATTATCACTGGGACTCCGTTGATTTTCACCGTGGTGTAAATCAGGTTAACATTCGCCTTTGCGCGTACGTGGTTGACTCTTGGTCTGTTGCTGTACGGCTTTCCTCCTCTGCACACTTTTGCTATGTGGCCTTTCTTCTTGCATTTGCTGCAGATTTCATTCTTGAATCTGCATTTGTCGCATTCGTGGTTATTGCCGCCGCACCGGTAGCAAACGTATTTGGAGTTATTAGCGTTTGTCGGTTGCGGTATTCTTTGCACCTTGTAAACTGCCCTCTTCTGGCTTGTTCCGACGTATGCTGCGTCTCGCCTGATGTTTTCGAACATCTTCAGGTCGTTGATGAGCTCGTCGAAGGTTGTACCAGGGCGCGTCTCCAGGGTGTTTAAGGCTCGAAGACGTTGGAGCGAGTGCTCTGGTCGGTGCAGCCTTTGGATGGCAATGAAACACTCGATTTCATCGACTGAGCAGGTTTCCATATCGCTGACATCTGTTTGTGCCTTGATCTGGCCTGCCATGTCATCGAGGTCCGTGAACTCTTGCTTCGGGTCGAACAACTTGAGTCTTCTTCGGAATAGAGACGTAGGTTGATCGAAGAAGGTTGTCAGCTCGTCGATTAGGGAGTCGTAGGATAATTCACTGACCTTCTTTGGAATGATCCCTTTGGCGAATTTGCGGTACTCTACCTTTCCCAGTTTGGAGACGATGAACCGTGCTCGGTCCTCGTTGTCGCCGAATGGACTGTTTTCGGCTTCGATGATCGTTTGATAGCGCTCAAACCAGTTTTTGAACGTCAGATCAAGTTCTGCATCGAACTGGAATTCTGGGATTTTGAAGGAGTCGAGCTTGTACTCGAAGCACCTGGAGTTGGGTGAGGCGGTGTTCTTGGACTGAGATGCTGTAGACCAGGATTCTTTGGCCCTCTGCAGAATTTCTTGCATCTCTTCTTCCGAGTATTTTGCCATGTTGAATTTTCCGTCTTGTGGTTCGCGGTGGAGTTCACTTCACACGTTTGAGTTCACTTCGAGTTCACTCGCACAACATTTGTCAGGTCTGTCCACGTGGGATTGTTCGCGAATTCGGTCCAGCCGGATTCGTTCTCTTCCTCGTCGCCAGTTATGTTGTAACGGGAACTCTGAGGACCCAGACGGTAAGGGAGACTGCAGACCCGGCGGGGTGGTACAGCTCCGGAGGCACAGATACTGGAGATAAGCTGGAGGAGTATTGAACACACGCACCCTGGTAGATAGGTAGAATCGGATTGCTTTATTTCTCGAATCTGTTCCGGATTACAGATATAAGAGGGTAAGAGTAGAAACGGAGTAAGCGGGGAGAGGGCTTTGTGAGTCGGCCGCCGGACTCTGACGGCTCAACAGTTTCCACAAACACTGCCATTGAAGAAGGCAGCTCTGAGAGTATCATCAAGAAGGTCACCAAGACCGCAAATGAACCAATCCTGTACCTTTTCCCTAATTTAATCTCCTCTAGAGATTTAGCAAATTTGCTGTTTTCAAGCCTTTTGAAGAATTCATCATCCCTTCTTGAATGGAACTTGGGATCTACGCACTTTGACACATGTTCAAGATACGTCTGGGTGCTTCTGAAAGATTTTTTGCAGTAGCTGCAACGGTTGTTACAGCACAGAATTTGATGATCTTTCATGTCCTTTTCCTCCACAAGGGACCTGCATGTCGCGCATTGAATGACTACATCATAAACATAGTCATCATACGGGCTACCTTTGCCTCTCAGGATGCTTTTGGCGAGAAGAGCTCTGTAACAACATTGAAGAAATGAAATGATCCATGAAAACAGATAAGGTCCTAATACCCAGAGTGGGAAAACTGCAAGAAACCAGATGGGCCTCATGAAAACCCTGTAGACACCGGTGGCCAATCTGTTGGGAACTTCACTTAGATATGGAATTTTGG